GAGAGAGAGAGAGAGAGAGAGAGAGAGAGAGAGAGAGAGAGTTGTTGGCAGCCATAGCTGCAAGCTGGAGAACCTGTGTACATCATTTCAAGTTTTAAACGAGTTCCAAGTGTGCCCTTACCATGTGAATCTTGCTGGTGTGCTGTTGATCTTGGTGCAGTGTGTGTGTGTAACGTTTGAAGCAACTAAGGCGAGCAAGCAGGATCTTTTTGAGTAAAAGCGGGACATTTGCAATATAAGCACGTGAATGATTTGACAGGAGGAGGAGTAATAAGGAAGGAGTAGGAGAAAGTAATATGGAGGGAGGAGGGGTGATTGATGATCTGTTTTCATGTCCAGTCTTTTCACTTTGTGTTGCGGCACTGCTCAATCGTCATGTACATCCTGTTCATTATGTGAGTGGAGAACTTGGATTGTGAGGAAGGGGAGGTGGGGAAGAAGACAATTGGAAAAACTTGGTATGAGCTCTTGCATCCGATCACAAGTTCTTGCTCCTCTTATACAAATCAAGTTCATTCTTTCATGATCGAATATGGGTGAGTTGCAACGCATGTATGGACAGGAAATGTGGTTTCGTTCATCATTGGAGGGGTACACGGTTCATAGCAAAGCTGCAAAGCTTTAAAAGAATTGCTTTGGTGCTGTTCTGTGGAGTCTATATGGCCTTTGGTGGTGTTGGCATCACACTGTACCAGCTTGCTTACCGTGGTGCTTTTATCAGGAGTGGTCGGTGGCTGCAGGGTGAATGAAACGCTTCCTATCGTACAGGCATTCAAGGGGACATGGTGGCTGACTCGTCTCTTCTTATGCAGTCATCATAGACGATGTGTGAAACCAGGCTTCCATTGGAATGCAAGGGACATCGACATGAACTGTTTATTCTGTCTTAGGCTGCTTGACATAACATCTGTATGAAGGGACCATTCTCCTTGAACGATAGGGTTGTCGGAGGTGTTCCCACTGGGGTATTGAAAGGTTAGCTCGACGTTCAAGTTTATTTGCTGATTCTGAGCGGCATGCATATGGTGTGTCTTCTCGGAAGACCTCCATCATTTGCAAGAGCCAATCAACTGTTTGTTTGTTAAACCTTCCCCAACAGTTGAGTGCATAATCTGTGCCTGGTCCTCCCTGTTGTTGTTGCTCACCTTTACCGTTTTCTGCTGTGTGTGCTCTCTTCCTCTCTGTGCCTCTTTGACCAGCTGCTTCTCCACTCTCGCCATTCCGTTCCCCTCTCCTTGCCTTTTCCGTCATCGCCTGTGTTTGGCTGTGCAACACTGGTACTGCTCACACTTTCCACGTTACTTTCCTTGCTCTCAGATGCAATTTCCTACCCACAGAGAACTTGGAGCGCCAAGCTGGTTTTCTATTTAATTTGCTTGGAGTGTGGTCCGAACTATTCGATTTCACGTGAGGGTTGTTCAGGCAGTGCCAACTCACGCATGATGGATCGCCATGTAGAAGGGAATGAAGAGAAGCGGGGCAGGGTCCAGCGTGAAGAGGCACACAGTCATAGGAAGTTGACCATGGAGGAAATCGAATTAAGTGCAAATGTTTTGGAAGAGCAAGGGACTGGGGAAGAGGTTAGAATGGTAAAAGTCGGAGACTGTGAGGTTGTCAAACATAGCTTGGAACAGCCCTCGTCGAGGTCAACTGGACGCCTTACGACTGCTAAAACATGGGAAAGATTCCATGCTGATTTCAGGCAGCTGCTGCAACCAGCTGGTCAGGATGCTGTAACCATTGTGACAGAATGGGATGCTTATGTGGTGTACTGTGTGATGCGTGCAACTGCCAAGTGGCAACATCTGACACTGGCTTTGCACCGAAGCCTTCCAATGTGCTATATCGAGTGTTGGGATGCGTGGGATGTGGCAGAGGAAGAGTGCGTACGGTCTGCAGTTGTTATTCCTATTAGTTGGAGTGCCACCACTCTCACAGGGAGCAGCTTGAAGCAGATAGCCGACATGTCTATGTATCCAGTGGAGGGAGCAAAGGTGTCGAAAGTAGAGATGGTGAGAATCGGGTTTGTCGATCGAGATGGGAATGTTCTGTTTTTTGAGATCTTTGATGGTATGTTTGCACCAGCCAGTCTCTACAGCAATATAAAGACGTGATCGATCGGCAATGAGGAGAAGGAAGGTCGTTCAGGCATCGATTTGTGCACATGGGTTAGTTTGAGATGATCGGTGCTCTCTCCTTCAGGATATTCTCTGTTTGGTGTTTGACTGAGCAGGATGTTCGTATCAGGAGAACTGTATCGCCATGAGAAGCACAGTGCTCTCGATTCTGGGGCATCCATACATAGTACATAGATCTTAACCTTCGGTTGCGAACTGCTCTGGAGAGTCCTTTCTAGCAGGAGTTCAACAGGAGTTAGGGGAGGGTGAAATGACATCAATGTTTGATAAAAAAGGGTAAGGAAAGTTGGTTGTAGTTTATAGGGAAGAGCGCAGGGGGTGGTTTGACAGTAAATCCTCTCTTAAGAAGGGCAATGAATGCTGTCAGCGGGGATCTGTATGCCATAGTGGAGGCTAGCATCAAAATGTTTCTTATGTTCTGCAGAATAGAATGGAGCCAGCACCATAAGGTTCTGTTTGTTGTAGTACAAAGAAAAGACAACAGAAAAACTCTCTCCAAGTCTGGAAGTAAAGTGTAATGACATTATGGTTCATGATGTGTGATTGCGATGTCCTTCGAGTCTTTTACTATCTAGTGATGTTTTGAGGCAGTCCACAGTGCGCGACCAGCCCATCAGTGTTGAAGAAATTCAAGCATTATCTCCTGTCTTTCCCATAACGTCCCCTGTGATAGACCACCCCTGAAAGGAGCAGATTTTCTCTTCATTCATTTACCTGGCTAATCCTCGTTTGGAAGAACAAAAGAGGAACAACGACTACCAAGTTGTACTGACGTATGAATTGAAGTGGCTATCGAAAGGTCCAAAATCTAAAATCATAACTGTGAAGGCCAGAATGAGCCCCTTTGTTATGTTCAAAAGGGCAAAGTTAGCCGTTGGATTGTCAGCAGGTGCTGCTCCTCGCCAATATCCGGAGCCCTCAGATACAGGAGCAGTTCTACAGCCTTGGGAGCCTCTCTCACAGAGCTGCAGAACTGATCCGACATGCCTACAGCACCGGGTTTTAAATGGAAACGAAGGACAGGCTTATCCCTTTGGAATTTACCTAGGCCTCTGGATGTCCAGGCGCAGATCATGCACTTAGGCATTTGCAGGTGCAGGTGCATTGTAACCAGCTTTTTTGCTTTTGCAGATAAGAGTGGGCCGCCTCTGTTACTCTTTGCGGGTTTCCCGTATCATCACGATCATTCAGCGTTCCGTAGATAATGTGCGCTCTGTCCTGTTGGCAAGGCATGGAGTGAGCCGACGTCAATCCCATTGTTTGTTGCATTCAATCATGAATGGAACATGCTTGCATTCTTAGTTGGTTTTCAACTTTTCACATACATTATGTCTGATTCGTACACGTCTGAAAGCATGATGAAAACAGTTTGAAACACACAACAGTATCTGGGCGCCCAGCAGCCCAGGGCAAGATTCAACAAACGGCCAACGACACACTGCAGTATATGGGAAGATCTTGACTGCTATGGCTGTGCTGCTGCTTGCCTTTATCAATGAATGAATGAGCAAACACTCCCCCCTGTTGTGTACTATCAACTATAGAAAGTGAACTTACTAACTTAGTGAATAAATTCCGTGTCAAGGATCAAGTTCCTTCTTCTTACTCCCCCCTCCCCCCCCCGCCCTCCTTTTGAAGGGCGATGCCCTTGAGATATCATCTTTGAACTGACCAGACCCATTTAGATTCAGAGTTATTTTCACTCGTCAGATTCCATTGGAATTCGAACTCAGGTTGGCATTTCAACAGTTCGTAAGTGTACGAACTGAGCTAGTGCAGTTGGTACATGGATCAAGCTCCTACTTCGCAGCTGACAACACCTTCCAAAGGGAACAATCAGGCAATTCCCTGGACTGGAATCAAGGAGTAAGTTAAATCCTGCAGAAAAAGGTTGCACAATCGCTGTAAATTCTCTCTTCTCGGAGCTGTCTTTTGTATGCAGCTAAGGTTTTTGGTGCTCTCTCCATCAATGGAGGACCAGATTTGCAGTGGCAGACTATCCTCCAGGTATGCTCTAGTTCATAAAGCAGTTCACTGACGGACAGGCAATCAAAAACGTGCAGAAGCTCCAAGAACCCAAGGCTGCAGGAGCCAATAAGCACCACAGGCCCTTACTGTTGAAAATGGGGGTGGGGGGGGTTCATGTCTAGTTCAGTATGGACAAGTTTCTAGAAGGCGAAGGGGGCATCAAGGAAGTTGTTGCTGAAGGAAGAGGAGGGGGGCCGTGGGAGGTATTGGCTGTGGTTTGAGAGGAGCATCTTATGTGATTGATGGTCCACCACATCTGAAGACATACCCTATGTTCCATGCTTGGAGCAGATGCGATATGTGTGCCATACCGGTTTGCAGGCAGGCGCACTCATCCCCTCCCATGTGCGACGTATTAGAAGTGCATAGCACCCATCCTTCGGGACATCCGTTAAAATTGGAACGATACAGAGAAGATTAGCATGGCCCCTGCGCAAGGATGACACGCATAAATCGAGAAATGGTTCAAATAAAAAAAAAGAAAAAAAAAAGAAAAAGAAGAAGAAGTGCATTGCACCTTTGGACAGCTGACGGTGGGATTCCTTGACTTCCATCACAATTGCCATGGGTTTGGCATTCTGATTGTGGCAGGATGGAATGAAGAGTTATAGACACTCTTATGTTATCCAGACGTGGTGAAGAGCTGTAACATCCTGCACTAATCAAGTTGTGCAGAACTGTACGGTTCATGAGCTCGGTCTGTCTGTCGCTTTCTGGGTCGTTGGCGGAGCTCATCTTGAACTCGATGCCCATGAATTCGATGAGATTTTGCGGTAATACATTGGTCAATTGGGCATCTGATGGTGTGCTTCAATGAGAGCTGGGAATGAGTATGTGGTATGCATGGCTCCCACACGGGCCTTGCAGGGCCCAGCATTGGTCCAGTCCGAGGTCTGAGCAGGCATTCCAGCAGAGCCTAGGTAGGCTAGATGGGACCTAGGGGGACGTGAAGTGTGTGTTTGGGGGTGTTCTCTTCAATTTTTGGGGTTGTCTGCATTTTTTCTGAGTTGTTTGTCGGTTCTGAGTTCATTTTGTCGGTCCCAGTTTTTGCCTGGTCTGGATGTGTGGTTTCATTTTTGTCCAGACTGGAAGTGTCGTTTGGATCATCAGGCCTGATACAGGCCCAGCGACCGTTTTCCAGGCCTGGCGCTAAGCAGTTTGGGGCTGAACCATTTTTTGGTCCAGCCCCTGGTTTGTCATTTGTGAGGATGCAGCGAGGAGCCTGGATGTCCGGTTGGGACCCACGCAGACCGCCCTTAGGCCAGGCATCAGGACCAGGACTAGGGCCTGCATCCTGGACCATCGATCGGAGGTCCGATCAAACGGTCCAGGCCACAAGCTGAGGTAGGATCCAATAGGCCCAGCACTATATGTACATGGGCTAGCCTCCATTCCGGACACGCAGCATTCTCAGAGTCGTGTAGCCATGCTGCTCGAGCAGTGCTAGAGTAGGTGCACTAGAGTAGAGTAGAGGAGGCAGGAGGACAGCAGAGCATAGGCCAGGAGGTGCTGCACGATGAGAAATTCGCCTTGTAGGGGCTTACCCCGGGCACCTGCAGCACAGCTCAAGACAACGTCTTTTGCAGGTTAGTACTTGGCCTCTCACACACACACACACACACACACACCCACACCCACACCCACCCACGCACACGCACCCACGCACACGCACGCACACACAC